TTTCAACAGCCTTTTTTGTAGAAATGGAAAAACAAATCTTTAAATTCATATAGAGCTGCAAGGGACCCAAAATAGCCAAAACAATCTTGAAAAAGAAGAACAAAACAGGAGAACTCACACTTCCTGATTTCAAAAAGTGCTATAAAGCTATGATATCAAAACACTGTGGTACTAGCATAAGGATAGACATACAGACCAATGAATAGAATTGAGGGTGCAGAAATAAATTCATACATCTAGGGCCAACTGATTTTTGACAAGGGCACCAAGTCCATTCAATGTAGAAAAAACAATCTCCTTAACAAAATCAATTCAAAATGGATCAACGACCTAAATATAAGAACCAAAATCATAAAACTCTTAGAAAACATTGGAGTAAGTTTTCACGACCTTGGATTTGTTAATAGATTCTTGGATATGACAACAAAACAAAATATTGATAAATTGAACTTCATCAAAATTAAAGACTTTTGTACATCAAAGGATAGTACCAACAAAGTGAAAAGACAACCAACAGATTGAGAGAAAATTTTTTTGAACCACATATCTGATAAGGGTTGAATATTCAGAATATATAAAGAACTCCTGAAACTCAGCAACAAAAAAACACGTGGAACCAAATCTAAAAGTGGGCAAAGGACTTAAAGGGACATTTCTCCAAAAAAGATACAAATGGCCAATAAACACATAAAAAGATGCTCAACTTCATTAGTCATTAGAGAAATGCAAATCGAAACCACCATGAGATGCCACTTCACATCTACTAGCATGGCTATTAAAAAAGGGAAAATAGCAAGTACTGGAGAACATGGTGGAGAAATGGAAATCCTCGTGCATTGCTGGTGAGAATGGGAAATGGTACAGCCACAGTGGAAAACAGTTTGGCAGTTCCTCAAAAAGTTAAACATAGAATTAACATATCACCCAGCAACTCCACCTCTAGGTATGTATATCCAAAGAATTGAAAACAGGGACTCAGAGAGAGGCTTGTACAGCAGAGTTCATTGCAGCGTTATTTACCATAGCCAAAGGGTAGAAACAATCCAGATGTACGTCAACAGATAAATTTATAAACAAAATGTGGTGTATATATATATATACACAATGGCATATTATTCAGCCATAAAAAATGAATGAAGTTCTGATACATACTAAAACATGAAACTTAAAACTTTATGCTAAGCTAAATAGGCCACATACAAAATGACAAATATTGTATGATTCTACGTATATGAAATATCTAGAATAAGCAAATTCACATAGACAGAAAATAGATTAGAGGTTACCAGGGATGGAGGGGGACAGTGGAGGGAGGAGGGAGAGGGAATGAGGAATTATTGCTTCAAGTTTAATAGAGTTTCTATTTGGGGTGTAAAAAAGTTTGGAAAAGATAGTCGTGATGGTTGTACAACACTGTGACTATAATTAATGCCACTGAACTATACACTTAAAAATGGTTTAAATGGCAAATTTTATTTTACATACATTTTACTACAATGAAAACAATTTTTTTCAAAAGGATAAATGGGCAAGGAAAATTGGCCATGCCATGTCAAATTACCTCTCACTGGCCGGAACCTAGTAACATAGTTGGCCTAGGCTGGGCAATGTAGTGTTTATTCCAAGCATCCATGGGGTATTTTGTAAGAAGAGGGCAGTGTCTGCCACTGTCACAAATTAAGTGGAAATAAGCAGGATGGGAATGTTTGGGGCATCACAATGGATAAGTAGGAGAGAAGAGTGTGGGGCTTTTTTATGGATTGAATTGTATCCCTCAAAAATGTGTGTCAACTTGGCTAGGCCATGATTCCCAGTGTGGCTGTCCACCATTTTGTGATCTGATGTGATTATCCTATGTGTTGTAAATCCTAACCTAAATGGAGCCCTGGTGGCACAGTGGTGAAGAGCTTGGCTGCTAACCAAAAGGTCAGCAATTTGAATCCACCAGCTGCTCCTTGGAAACCCTTTGGGGGCAGTTCTACTCTGTCCTGTAGGGTCGCTAGGAGTTGGAATCAACTCCACAGCAACGGGTTTGGTTTTTGGATGATGTTAATGAGGCAGGACTCAATCTATAGGATTAGGTTGTATCTTGAGTCAGTCTCTTTTGAGATATAAAAGAGAGAATCGAGCAGAGAGGTGGGGGACTTATTAACACCAAGCAAGAAGAACCAGGAGCAGAGTGTGTCCTTTGGACCTGGGGTCCCTGTGCTGAGAAGCTCCTAGACCAGGGGAAGATTGATGACAAGGACCTCCTCCCAGAGCTGACAGAGATAAAGCCCTCCCCTGAAGCTGCTGCCCTGAATTCAGACTTTTAGCCTCCTAGACTGTGAGAGAATAAATTTGTTAAAGCCATCCACTTGCAGTATTTCTGTTACAGCAGCACTAGATAACTAAGATAGGCTCCTACAAAGTTTGTTGGTAGATGACCATGTGCCTTTGTGGAGTTTCAAACCAGGATAGAAGTTTGTGGACATCAACCATGATCAGGTGTGGCCTCATGCCTGCCCCCACCCCCACCCATGTCCCTTTGGTACAGCAGGTTCACCAGAAGTTCTCAGCCTGGTGTTTCCAGGTGGTTCCCCTATACCTAGGATCGAGGCATCTGGGGTTGGAGTGGCTCCTGGGGTCAGTGCCTCTGAAGTGAGTAGGCACAGACTGGGATGACAGGGAGGGCAGGGTGGGACCTGGGCAGGGCTCAGTTACCTGCTACCCAATCTGGTACAGGGACAACTGGGAGAAAGAGATAGTCAATTCACAGGATGCTGCTAAAAATGCAGCAATGGCTGGAGAGGAAATGAGAGTGGCCAGGAACACTGTGGGACAGGAACATCTGTGCCCAGAGAGCCACAGGGGCATATATTAATCATACAATTGTGGGAGGGAGGGAGTGAAAGAGAAGTGAGGAGTGGATGCACAGGGGGAGGGAGGCCAGAGCCCAGACCAGAAGGACTCCACTCCACCCACAAAGGGGTACTATTGACCCACCTAGAACCTGAGTCAGAGTAAGTCAGTAGTGGAAAACTACCAGGTAAATGGCCACATTTACATCATGGTAGTCCTCTCAGCACCCCCAGCCTGCCCCTCCCCACCTCTTTCTGACATGCTCCTCCACAGTGGGAATCACCCCTCATCCTCAGCATTGCCCAGCTGTCCTCGGCAGCAGTAGACACTTGTGGGCCAGGGCTGGCTTGCAGCATTGCCCCTCACCCCCCAGGATGGGAACATGCAGCTCACAGTGCTGACCTACCGCTCCCAGCAGAGCAGCAGCCTGAGCAATCGCTCCCTGGAGCTCATGGTTAGTGGATCGAAGCCCCGTCCAAGCTAGGGTCCTCCCACCAGGCCTTCACCTAGTTCCCAGACCTTACTGGACCTGGAATCCTGTTTCTGTCCCAATTCTCTGGTAGGTGTGGTCCGTGGTTTGTAGTCCCCACTAAACTCAAATCCCTGTTTCTATACGTGATGAGACTGATCTCCACGCTTTTATCCAATCCTTACGCAAGACTCCCCTCCAGTCCCTGACTGTGCCCCACCCACGCCTCCCTGTTAGGTACTTGCCACACCCACCCCATCCATCCCCATCCTCCTCCCCTTACCTAGTCGGATCCTCTTTTCTGCCGGCGTCCGGTACCAGACCCTAACCTTCATCTTCATGTGTTTCCCCCACGCTTTAATTTCTCTTAAAATTCCCACAAGCCCTTACCCAATTTCTGGCCCAGGGACACCCACCAGACCCCGACCCTCTCCTGGCCGCTCTCTCCCCAGGTGCACCGAAGGCTGCTGAGAGACGATGCACGTGGAGTAGGGGAGCAGCTGCAGGAGGCAGACCGGACAGATAGGGGCCGTGGTTGTGGGTGAGAGGGCGCCACCTTGTGCTGCTGGACACAGCCCGGGCCGCTGCCGCCGGACACCGGCTGCTGGAGGAAAAGGAGGTCTTGGCCCCGCAGGTGGTGCCGGCCCCGGGCAACGGCACCCTCTACCATCCCGCCATTGCCTGGCGCACGCAGCTGAGGGGCAGCAGGCTTCGCAGATAGGGACAACCAGAATGAAGCCTGCGGGTTGGGTGCGGGTTTTCCTAGACTCGCACTGGACCCACGTTTCCCACCTCTAGCAGGTCAGGGGGAGGCCATAAGGTGGTCCCCGCCCTCTCGGCTCAGTCCCGCCACCTGTGCGGTCCTGGCCCAGTCGCATCCCACCTTGACTGGGTCATGGCACAACCTAACCTCATACCCCTTCTCCTCCTCCGCATCTTGACCCTGCCCGGTCTCACTTCAGTCGGATCCCTCCCGCCAACTCACCGTGCCCCTCAGCTCAGCCCTGCCTCCTGACCATGGGAAGCCCCGCCCTGTCCCTGCAGGCAGTGTGCACTGCGCCTGGCTGCGGCTGGTTAGAGCCAGAGAACTCTGCTGCTGAACTTGTAGCATAAGTTCTCGGTCTGGAAGGATTCGGGCTGCAACCTGAGCTCCCCCTTGACCTTGGACTTGTGGGTAAGCAGAGCAAAGGTGGGAAGGAGAAGAGTTGGGGCATGGGGAAACCCCGCTTTCCCCCCACTCAGGACGCTCATCCACTGCCCGCAGGACCTGTTCTCCACCTTCACCATCACCCACCTGTAGGAGACCATGCTGGCGGCCACCTAGCCTCTGGAACGCGCCACCAGGCTCCAGTGGACACCGAACGTGGGTGGGGACCAATGGGCAGGCGGAGCTTGAAGGTCGAGAGGCGGTGCCCATGATATACTGGAGGAGCTTCAGTGGCTGAGGACCAAGTTCTGAACCTCAAGGCTCAGTTTGAGGATATGGGGAGGAGTCTAAACCCCGAAGGTAGGCCTGGAGGGATAAAGGCTTTGAAGGTCTGGAATGGTGCTTAGTGCCCAAGGGTTCGGGATTGGAGAGTGGGGAAGGGGAGGTGTCCGAATCCCAGGGAATGATTTGTGAATCTGGAAGTGGTGTCCAAGATCAGAGAGTTGGATTTGAGGAACAGAGACCTGGTCCAGGCCCCAGAAAGGGATGTGACGGACTCAGTGTGGGGGTGTCAGCCAAGGACTTGGTGGGATTTGCGGGTCAAGGCCTCTATGTAGATCTGAAGGAGGCAGCATGATAGAGTCAGATATAGGAAGGCTGGCACCCCAATCTAGAGCAAGTAACATAATTTGTGAGGCCTAGTGGCACAGTAGTTAAGAGCTGTGGCTGCTAACCAAAAGGTTGGCAGTTTGAATCCACCAGGCACTCCTTGGAAACCCTATGGGGCAGTTCTACTCTGTCCTGTAGGGTCGCTACGAGTCAGAATCGACTAGAGGGCAATGGGTTTGTTTTTTTTTTTTTAGCGCAAAATGAAAATGCAGGCCTCTTGTTCAAAACTTAAAAATTTCAAAACTGTAACAGCAGAGCATGAATCCAGGCACTGGGCCCTCCTGAACCCCCCTCACTCCTCTCAACCTAGAACCAGTTGCTGTCTCACTGCAGCCCATGGAAACATGCATCTTCCTGGTCTTGGTTTGCTGAGAGGAGGATGCCACCCTCAGAGCCCTCACACCCTCATCAGGGGAGGGGAAACCCTCTCTCTGTTCTTCCTCAGACCAGAGCCACGAAACCACCACCCACAGTCCCGGTGGAGGAGTGACTGAGAGCAAGAGGCTTTGAGGGGAATGAATTTAGGGCCCAAAAAAGTTGCAGCTTCTTTACTGACCCCTGGCCAGAAGTGTCTGCATGGGAGTCACCTATTCATTGCTCTAATCCTCACATGCAGTCACACAGCCAGATAGTGCCCTACCTCACCCCTCCACTCATTGGCTCACCTCCTCCTTTGAGGCTTGTCCACTCCAGCCTTGGCAAAGCTGCCTTGAGAAGGCAACCCATTCTACTCATCCTAGGCTAACTCTACACTGGTCTATGGGGCCAGGCCCAGATGTCAAAGTGTGGGGGCTCACTCAGTACTTGATACCAAGCCATCTGGGAAGGCTGGTGGAGCAGATGATGTCCAAGGTGAGTCCCAAAAGGAGGCTCCAACAAGGTGAAGGCAGAGATAAGTTCATGTCAGGAGGAAAGGCCAGTGTGATGGACCACAACTACTACAGCCTCCACCAGACTGAGTCCAGCACAACTAGATGGTGCCCAGCTACCACCACCAACTGCTCTGACAGAGATCACAATAGAGGGTCCCTGAGAGAGCTGGAGAAAAATGTAGAACAAAATTCTGATTCACCAAAAAGGAAGACCAGACTTACTGCTCTGACAGAGACTGGAGAAACTCTGAGAGTATGGCCCATGGACACCCTTATAGCTCAGTAATGAAGTCTCTCCTGAGGTCCACCCTTCAGCCAAAGATTAGACAGGCCCATAAAACAAAACAAGACTAAATGGGCACACCAGCCCAGGGGCAAGGACAAGAAAGCAGGAGGGAACAGGAAAACTCATAATGGGGAACCCAGAGTCGAGAAGGGGAGAGTGTTGACATGTCATGGGATTGGCAACCAATGTCACAAAACAATATGTATATTAATTGTTTAATGAGAAACTAGTTTGCTGTGTAAACTTTCATCTAAAGTACAATAAAAAAAAAATTAAAGAAAGGCCACTGTGGGCAAAAGACGACTGCGTAGAGGGTGCCTGGGGAAAATCATCTGGGGTGGAACCCAAATTGAGAGGCTTTAAAAGACAATAAACATTTATTATCTATAACAATTTCTGTGAGTCAACAGTTTGGGAGCAGCATACCTGGGCAGTTCTAGCCTGGAGTCTCTAGTAAGTTGCAGTCAGCATCAGCTGGTGTTGCTGTCATCTATAGGCATTGCTGGGGCTGGAAAATCCACTTCCAAGGTGGCTTACTCACATGCCTGGCAATTTGGCACTGGTTTGCACGTAAACCTCTCCACAGGCTGCCTAAGTGTCCTCACAATATGGCAGCTGGCTTACCCCAGAGTGAGGGATCCTCGAAAAGGTGGGCCAGGCAAAAGCTCTATCCTTTCAGTGACCTAGCCTCAAGTCACATGGCTTCACTTCCTCCACATTCTATTCATTAAAAATGAGCCACTGGAGTATACAATGCCATGCCAAACCATAGTGAAGCCTGAGGCAATGGAAAAATCAGGACCAATAAGCAACAACATCATGATAAATGGAGAAAAGATTGAGGTTGTCAAGGATTACATTTTACTTGGATCCACAATCAACATCCATGGAAGCAGCAGTCAAGATATCAAAAGATGCACTGCATTGGGCAAATTGGCTGCAAAAGACCTCTTTAAAGAGTTGAAAAGCAATGATGTCACTTTGAAGACTAAGGTGCACCTGACCCAAGCTATAGTGTTTTCAGTCACCTCATATGCATGTGAAAGCTGGACAATGAATAAGGAAGATGGAAGAAGAATTGACGCCTTTGAATAGTGATGTTGGCAAAGAATATTGAGTATACCATTGTCATGGTTTGAATTATGTCACCCGAAAAGGTGTATATCAGTTTGGCTGGGCCATGATTCCTGGTACTGTGTGATTTTCCTGTATGTTGTAAATCCTGCCTCTATGATGTTAATGAGGGAGGATGGGTGGCAGTTGTGTTAGTAAGGCAAGACTGGATCTACAAGACTGGATTGTGTTCTGAGGCAGTCTCTTGAGATATAAAAGAAAGAAGTGAGCAGAGAGACAGGGGGACCTCATACCATCACCAAAGCAGTGCGAGGAGCAGAGCGCGACCTTTGGACCGGGGTCCCTGTGCCGAGAAGCTCCTAGTCCAGGGGAACACTGATGAGAAAAGGCCGAAAGAGAGAAAGCCTTCCCCTGGAGTGGACACCCTGATTTTGGACTTTTAGCCTACTTTACTGTAAGGAAATAAACTTCTCTTTGTTAAAACCATCCACTTGTAGTATTTCTGTTATAGCAGCACTAGATAACTAAGACAGCCATGGACTGCCAAAAGAACGAACAAATCTGTCTTGGAAGAAGTACAACCAGAATGCTCATTAGAAGCAAGGATGACGAGACTACATCTCACATACTTTGGACATGTTATTAGGAGAGATCAGTCCCTGGAGAAGGACATCATGCTTGGTAAAGGGTCAGTGAAAAAGAGGAAGACCCTCAACGAGATGGATTGACACAGTGGCTGCAACATGGGCTCAAGCATAGCCAACAATTGTGAGGATGGCACAGGACTGGGCAGTGATTCATTCTGTTGTACATAAGGTCACTATGAGTCGGAACCGACTTGATGGCACCTAACAGCAACAATTCTGTCCTTATTTAAAATTTGATATTTTATTTGTCATGGGTTTTTTGTATTAATTTTGATTTTTTTTAACTATTGCATTAAAATGTTATTTATCTTAAAAAAAGTGGGTCACTGGAAACAAATTAAAAACAGTATCATTAACAATTGCTCCAAATAAAATGAAATATAGGTATAAATCTAATAAAACATGTTCAAGATCTATATCCTGTATATTATAAAATGCTAATGAAATAAATCGAAGAAGACCTGAGTAAATGGAGAGGCATACCATGTTCATGAATTGGAAGATTCAGCATAGTATAGATGTTACTTCTCACCAAGTTGATATATAAGATTAATGCAATTCCTATCAAAAGTCCAGCAAGGTTTTGTGTAGACATAGACAAACTTATTCTAAAATTTATATGGAATGGCACAGGACCTAGAATAGCTAAAACATTTTTAAAAAATAAAAATAAAGTGGGAGGAATTATTCTACCCAATGTTAACACTTACTACATAGCTACAGAAATCAAGATACAGTGGTATTGTGGAGGGATAGATGCATAAAACAATGGAATAGGATAGAGAACCCAGAACTAGACCCATACAAACATGTTCAATAGATTTTTTTTTTTTTTAAATGAAAAAGTAGTTCAATGGAGAAAGGATAGCCTTTTCAACAAATGATTCTGGAGCAATTGGACATCTATAGAAAAAAAAAGAATGTCAAACTAAACTTCACACCATATATGAAAAATTAACTCAAATGGATTATGGAAAAGTGGAAATGTAAAACATAAATTATAAAACTTTTAGGGAAAAAGAAAACAGAAGAAACTCTTTGGGCTCTGGGCTGGATGAAGAGATCTTAGACTTAACACCAAAAGCATGATCCATACAAGGAAAAATGGATAAATTGGACCTCACCAAAATTCAAAACTTTTGCTCTTCAAAGGAACCTGGTAAAAGGATGAAAAGACAAGCTAAAGACTGTGAGAAAATATTTGCAAACCACATATCTGGCAAAGGACTTGTGTCTAGAATATATAAAGAACTCTCAAAACTCAACAGTAAAAAAGCAAAGAATCCAATTAGAAAATGGGCAAAACACATGAACAGACATTTCATTGAAGAGGATATACAGTTGGCAAGTAAGCACACAAAAAGATGTTCAACATCACTAGCCATTGTTGTTAGGTGCCGTTGAGTTGGTTCTGACTCATAGTGACCCTATAGGACAGAGTAGAATTGCTCCATAGGGTTCCCAAGGAGTGGCTGGTGGATTTGAACTGCCAACCTTTTGGTTAGCAGCTGAGCTCTTAACCACTACATCACCAGGGCTCCACATTAGCCACTAAGGAAATGCAAGTTAAAACCACAATGAGATATTACTACACACCTATT